GGAAGGCCTCCAAATGCCTCCAACAAGTCGGTGTTCGTTCACTTCGTTCACTTTGGCGCTCTACGAGAGAAACTGGACCAATGAACCCATCTGCTCAGCGCTTCCGGCTCAGCTTCCGGCTCTTCCCCCGCGGTCGTGGGCCTGGCACATTGGAGTTTCCAAGCGTTTGGACCGGCCAAGAAGGCCCAGCTCGGCCACCTGTCTGACACAACTCGACTTCTTCTGTGCAAAGAGCTCCTACCAGGCGGCCGAATCTACCTCGACCCAACGACCGTCTCCAGATGCTTCAACCAATCCAAAGCTCAACCTGTAAACAAGCACACGCATGCAACTTTGCATCTTGCATGTCTGCAAGTGCTGGTCCCCTCTCAGTAGTCTCCTCTAGTGTCAAACTGTCAATTTGAGCTTTGGGGTCGCTCAAGCCCTGGGTCACAAACAATGCGCGCACAGCGCCAAACAGAGATCGAGTGATCTACCGCAAATGACAGATTATACCACTATGTCACTATGCTTCATTACCACTTGTTTCTATACTAGATAATATACGATAAATTATGATAATATGGATACGGTTGGGTACGAATCAACATCCTAACAACCCCCAAAAAATAGATGGAATACTTGCAGTGAATATAGCGGGAAATAAACCTAAACGCCTTTGGTATTCAATCGTCCTTGTGGCCCAACTTGATGAGCCATACCAAACAACCATAAAAAAAAGAACCCTAGCCTTCAAAAACAAAAATGGTTGACTTAGTTTTTGTAGTGTATTAAAATCCGTAGTTGTTTAAAAAAACAAGGCTAAAACAAGGGTTGCCCAATAAAGACTATTAAATTCTTCGTGGTTGGGAGGCTAGGGAGAATCGTTATATTCAGTAACAACTCGTGGGATCTCGAAAATCAAAAACGGCCGCCTCGAGGAGGACGCGGACGAATGAGGAGGATTCCGACGGAAGCTGCTGGGTCGCAAGGAGGCAGAGGCCTGGGAAGAAAAGGTTGAAGGCGAACCCACCAAGGTCAGAAGCGCATCTCCTGCACCCAAATGGATGAGAAAATTGGAGGACCCATGCCATGAAGATCCCTTTCATGTTTGTATCTCTTTATCTCCTTCTTTTGGTGGGGTTGGGAGCGGGCGCCTTGAAGTTTGGCATGCCTGCCAAGTGATCTCTCCAAGCAGCTCAAGGACCACTTATCTTAGACTTGCTGAACAAGATTGAACAAGCCCATTTTCTCCCATGCTCAAAAAGCCGCCGCATCTGAGAAGTCATGGTATGCCTGTGTGGTGATCTTGACTCGTCCCCCAGATCGGATCCCAGAAATTTTGCGAGGCGCAGTGGACCAAAACAATTGGGAAAAAACCATTTACCGTTGAGGATGGCCAGTTCAGGGGCCGCCTTCGGCATCCTTCGCCCTCCATGGACTTTCCACCTCAGGTTTCTTAACTCCGCTCAAATCTCCCTAAAGGGTCTCTGGGAACAGAGTGGAGCCGGGGTCCGATGGATTAACCGGGGTCCCAAATGGACATGATGTTGAACCGGGGAGGGCACTAACCAAGCTGATTAGCTGCAGCATCTTGTATGATCTTGTATGCCAATAGGGTCCCTGTACCTTTTGAGGATGGTGTTGTAGTTGAACAAAGAATGGCCCATGGAGCTAGAAGACATCCTTAGGATGGTCCTGGACGCTTGAGGATGATGTTGTAGGTGTCTTACCTTACTTGGCCAAAACTTGAATTGATCGTCCGAAGATGTCCGAAGCCATGATTCCAACGCATTGATGAAGTGACAAGCAGGGCATCAGTGCTACTACCCCGTCACTGGTCTGCGCGCTTCCCGCCACACCTCAACGGGCCAAAACAATATCTGAACCTTGAACAACCTTCTGGTTCAATTCACAAATGTTGTACAGTATTTAAGGCTTTGAGTGTTCGATGTCCACCTTACCACCTACAAACATGTGCAAATCTGGCAAAACCATTGCAAGACCGCAACATTTCACACCCAGCCCACTTCACTGATAGGTCAAACACCCCCCCAACCTGGGAGCCACACCGCTGGCTCTTCTTCGATACCTCTCTCCGGTGTGGGCGAGGACGGCAAGGGCTCAGCATCTGCACCTCCTTGCGGCAAGGGGGGCAACAAGCCTCAGCACGAGTGGGATGACTTGATGTCAACTCTAGGGATGAAGCGAAATACATGTGAATATGAGCTTGACTGACATGTAAATTGGTTTGTGACATGTGAAGACATGTGTGTCATTCTTTGACAGCTCCCAGGTCACCGCGAGGACCGGACCCCCCCAAACATATACATTTACAACATAAAATAGTATTTTGTTGTTAAAAGAAAAAAAATATATATTATATACAGTATATATGCATACATATGCATAGGACAAGCCCTATGAAATTGCCCTCTCATCGACCAAGAAACCATTGAGATCCATCCCTGGAATCTCTTCATACTCGTCCAACAACTCCGCCGGCATTCCCAGCGAGTGCGGCGACTCATAGTGAGTGCAGAGCGTTTCTGCTACCGTCCGCCGAAGACGGCCCTTACCATCAGCCAGGTTAATTGCAAACATGTCATGAAGAATGGAGTGGGTCACAACAAAGGCCGAGGGAGCAAGGATAACAAGTATCTGATGTTGAATTGGTTTAGGGTTTCTTATCAGTTTTGTTTGTTATGGTCAGCTGCTCAAAGACTACCGAATGAAATAGAAATGCTCAAAATAACGAAAAGCATCAAAAATGAACACACACACACCTTAAACACCGAAAGCCCTGGCCAGCCAAAGCGTAAACCAACCCAAAGAGATGCTGAAGCAACCCTAAGCACTTTGCAAAGGCTTGAAGACAAATCTGTGAGGTGTACCCAGCTTAGCCATGCAACTTCTTCGCTTGGCCCGGGTAGAGCTAGTGGAGCCAACCTGATCACAAGTCACAACGTGCGCGAGCACTCTCTCTCTCTCGCTCTGCTGACTGTCGAGCCGCCTGCCACTGTGGGCTTACCACATGGTCTGGGTTCACGAAACCTGGACCCTCATGCGCACACACAGTTCACCAGTCAATCTTACTGTTTCAACAGGTTTCCACATGCCGTATCTTCTCCCATATTCAGAGACCCAGATTCAAACAGAATATTTTCCAGCGTCCTTTGCAAATCCCGAAGATCATTAGTCATCATTAGTCGAAAGCACTGCTGACCTCAAATCCAGGATCTAGACCAATCGAACAACAGCCTGGAGGATGAGGTACTACCAGGTCAAAGAGAAAAACAAGGTGCTTGCATTCTGGTCCTGATTCTGTGTATGCCTCTCTTGGTGTGTTCTTGGCGGATTTCGGGGCACACTCACTCTGAACAAAACCAGCAAGATCAGCAAGCACACATGCAAAGGGTCAATATATGTAAAAATGTATACTGTATATATATATATATATGTGCGTGTGTGAATATGATTTATCGTTTCTCTAGCCTTTTACCTGTCCAACTTCTTTTTTGGAGGTACAGTACCTCCAAAAAGGCCGGCCAGTTCATCCCGTCCTCTTCTCACCCTTCCCCCGCCTGAGTGCTTCAGACTGCATCTGCTCCTGGACAAACAGTACTTCCGCACCGCCCAAGTCCTACACCCGACTTAAGAAGTATTGTTCAGCGTTCTTGTCCGGGATATGGAATCTCAGAATTAAAGCCACATGCTGTCACATGCGGTTGGATTTGGCCGCATGTGACTTTTTGTTTGTGCCTTTCTTCTTGAGGAAGCTCGTGATTTGCAGCGTGCAATCCTTGTGAGTCCGTGTCATTCTGTATCGCTCTTCCATCGCAACTTGGACAGAACCGGAGGCTTACCTGTGCACAGAAAAGGGGCCTGTGGCTGCGGATCGGCCTTCCATAGCTTCTGCTCTAACAGCTTAGAACGCAGTTCCCCACAAACTCTGCACCAGCTCTGATTGGAACACCCCAAACCACCCCTCACCCCTGGCTGACGGAAAAAGGGAATCAATACCATCCAATACCCGATGCCCGATACCAGGCACCGCTGCTTCTTCAGTGTCCTGAATGGTCATCGGACCCTCTGTCGGGAGCTCGGCTTTGGAGTTACTTTTGCGCATCCTCAGCGGATGGGAATTATGATGATATACCTCGAACCTGAGTGACCCCTACTCTCCAGAATGTTTCTTATCAAGACGGGGGCCAGCATAAAAGCACGAAACATGCGTGTCACGGTGACATCTTTCAATTGTTTCAGCGGTCTCACCCTCGCGCACACGTGCGGCAACGCTTCGGTCTTGGCGTGGCCAGTAGCCTCGCTGAAGGCCGAGCGTCTGAGAGAAGAAGCGCAACCATTTGATCCCTCCAGGTTTTGGCCCCTGCACGCGTTCTTCGGGCGCCGAGATGCTGTTTCAGCGGGTCCGCTTTCGAACCTCTGCACCAAGTGGAACAAGCTCATCTCAGCTGATCAGATGATCATTTCTTCCCCCGAAAACATCTTTATGTCATCCTTCTCAGCCGAAGTTGCCAAGGTAGACCGGCCCTTGAAAGTCCAAGGGGTTGGAAACTGCAGTTAGTTTTCCTGATTGCAGGGGCCTTTGACAGCCATAACTACCAAGTCTTGCCCCACAAGTGCCAAAACAAATAAGCAAAACAGAGGATCCAGCAAAACGATTCCTGCGCAGGTCCGCTCAGAGGGCCGAAGTCCGGTCGCTCCAAACGGCTCAGTACGGTCGCCGTCGCGCCTGCCCACTCTCCACCATGCCGTGCCGAGGCTGTTCGGTCCCGGTTCGGCTGGAGCCGAGAGGTCCAGGCCATCCACCGGTGACGGTACGAAACTGGTGGTTGAACTGACTTCCATGCTAGCGAGTCGGAGGCTACCCTTGACTGACACACTCCCTTGCACCCATAGCTCCTGCAAGTCCCTTTCTCAAGTTAGTCACGCAGTGTTCGATCACGTTCGGGACACCTTCGAAAATCAACAAGTGCGTTTCAAACGTCTTGGGCAGCCACCCTGCGGTCTTGATGGCTTTCCGCACCGCATCTTTGGCGCATTGGTGGTTGTAGAGGGTTACCACCTGCGAAAGGAATTCGTGAAATAAAACACTGAATCGTAGATCAGGAATTCAGACCTTGTAGGAAAATCAATCGATTGGAATTGGGATTGGGTCGGATTAGGATTTGCTTGGGTTTGGACTGATAATAGAAAATGCAAATACCAAGGCGAACTCAAAATAAAGAGCAACCTGCAGCAACGCATTCCAAAACATACATGAATACTAATACAAACGCCTGCTGCGTCCAATATGAGAGGGCTTCGGGTCTCCATGAAAATGTAACTTCGTGTTGAGGGCAGGTAAGGACATGGGTGAGCTTTATTAGTTGCCCCTATGTTTGCATAATTGCATGCTACAGATGTCCATCCAAATACGCCGGAACTGGCCTCGTGGACTCCACATTGTCTTGCCTCGTGGACGTGACGCATTGTGCATCCCAGATTCCATGAGGGGTCAAGGCACCCGGATGCTGCATGGCCCCCCCTCAAAAAGAATGCTCTGGTTGAAATAGACCTGAGACTAGAAAAGGGCCCGTTGGATGACCATTTGCCTCTACAAACATGCCGTTTTCCACTCCCTTGATTATTTCAAACAGTGTAGGTGTGATAGATGAAACAAAAATAGATAAATAGATAGATAAACAGAAATGATAGATAAATAGGCAAACACCCAAGCAAACAGAGATAGAGGTAGATAGATATATGAAAAATGATGGATGGACAAATACATCCATCCATCCATCCATACGTACGTACATACGCACATTACCGCATACGGACATAGTTATACATTAAACATTACACTATTGCACTAATACATTACATCCATTACATTACATTAAAATTACATCATTGCATTCTATAAACCTTTGTACAAACATACAAGAATACGCACAGACAGACAGACAGACAGACCGACCGGCAGGCAGGCAGGCAGACCGACAGACAGACAGACACAGACACAGACACAGACACAGACACAGACACAGACACAGA